AAAAAAAAAAAAAAAACTCTACAAAGATGAATGCTATGCAGAGTGCTGTAACCGCCTCAGATAAGTGAGTAGGAGTTCAGGCTGAGCTCTTCTGTAGTATCATATGTGATTCTTTGAGAAAGAGCAAAATTGTTACTCCAGGCTTTAATTACTTGTCTGCTTACATCATTTCACAGAATATCCTAGTTCAGTGGGCACTTGCCTTGAGGTGGTTTCCCAGTGATGTCAGCTGCTCAATTTCATTGAGAGCATTCAGACCAGTGCTCCTTGCCCAATGCTGCTACTCTGGGGTGGAACTCAGACACTGCACCAACAATGCCTGTTCCTACACTGGGCATTGCCACACTGGGCATTGTTCACCTCTTCAATACTATAGGGAGGGGAAGCATGTGTCTTTCTAATTTGGGTTCATTTAGGCTACCCTTGGTGTTTAATCAGCAGTTTCGTTACACTGGAAGCTACATGGCCAATCCTCTTGCACCCTTCTTAGCCTCACAGAAAGGTCAGCCAGTGCATGGAGAGGCAGAACGTGGCCCTAAATCCTTAAACAGAAATCAGTTTTTTTGTTTTTTTTTTCTGAAGGTTTCATCTTGGGCAGAGCAGAACTTTTCTTTCTTTGGGGTGTGTGTTGGGGAGCATAGATCAGTTGCAGTGATTAACTGAGGAAAGGTAAAAGCATTTTATGGAGGATTTGGCTGTGACCTCCCTTTCAGTGGAAGGGATCAGACAGCTTCTTGGGTGCTAAAAATTACCTCTCCCCCTTTTTCTGTTCACTGGGATACTGTGGTGCTTAAATAACATAAGTGCCAGCTTTTGCCTACAAGAGAATAAGCTGATTTATGGGAAGTAAAGTTAAATATTAGTTTTCTTAATTTTCCCAGGACCTAGAGAAGCGATATATCACACGTCATGTGTAATTTACACAGTAGCTCTCAACATGTTTCTGCATAGCCATAACTAAGCAAGCAGAACAGGATTCTCCCATCTCCTCAGCACTGAGAATTGAAGGGAGGTCTGCACATCTGGCACATACCTGGGCAAACACGGGCTGGGGCTTTCCTGCAGGAGCACTGCACCTCAGGCTGCTGAGCACACAGGTAGAGTGTGCCCTCTGCCAGCTTAAGGTAGTTGCTGTAATCTCTACTTTGCTTTCATAAATCTGCCTTCTGGCGAGGTGCATGAATACACCACCTCTTGAGCTTGATGAGTTAATCTACAAACACACGTGAATCTGCTCAGAACTCGTCCAGCACTAATGCTGAGAGGGAAATGAGGGCACCTTCAGTACTGTGGACAGCGCCTGAGCATCCTCCCCACCGCGTCCTTCTGCTCCACCGCTCCACCCTCAGCTAACTCGGTGCTGAGCAGGAGGTCCTTCCACCCCACAAAGGCAGGAAGCCCCGCGCCTGCTCGATGGATGCAGTGCTTCGTTGCCCATCCACCTCCTGCTGGGCTGTGCGATGGCTCCGATTCAATTACATCTTGCACAGCTCAGTGGGCATTAAAGATGTTGTGCCTCGGTTAAACCAGCTGAGGTGTGCCTTTGTATCAAGATCACTCTTAGCATACTCTCCAAGAGCTAAGTAACTTCTAAAGGGCGCATACATTTCTCTGCAGGATTCTGAAAGGAGAAACATTATGAAGTGAATTAGAAGGAATTTCATCCCTGTCAAAGCAGTAGCAGTAGATGTTGCTAGCTTACATCTGAGATACTCCTGAAATCTTAATGAGCAACGTCAGACGTGTCCACATGTCACAAGCAATTAAATGAAATTACTACCTGCTTGAGGGATGCAATTCAGAGACTCAGATGGGCTTGAGCAGTGGGCCCAGGAGAACCTCATGATATTCAACAAAGCCAAGTGTACGGTCTGCACCTGGGTCATGGCCATCCCCACTAGCAGTAGAAGCTGGGAGATGAAAGGACTGAGCACAGCCCTGCCAAAAAGACTTGGTAGACAGAACTGAATGTGAGCCAGCAACGTGCCCTCAGCCCAGAAAGCCAACTGTATGCTGGGCTGCAGCAAAAGAAGTGTGTGGTCAGAAGGGCGAGGGAGGTGATCCCGCTCCTCTGCTTTGTGCTGGTGAGGCTCCCCTGGAGTACTGCATCCAGATGTGGAGTCCTCAGTACAGGAGAGACGTGGACCTGTTGGAGCACAAGCAGAGGAGGGCCATAAAAACGATCCAAGGGATGGAACACCTCTCCTATGAGGAGAGAGCTGAGGCTGTTCAGTGTGGAGAAGAGAAGGCTGCGGGGAGAACTGATGGCTTTTCAGTATCTAAAAAGGGGCTACAAGAAAGAAGGGTACAGACACTTCAGCAGGGTCTGTCGTGACAGGACAAGGGGAAATTTAAAGTCTATTTCAGAGAAGACTTCGCGTGTAACGACTGCAACAAGAGACCCCGGCGGGCAGGAGCCGCGCTTGCGCCGCCGCGGCTGCCGACGCTGTGTGGGCGGAGCCGGGAATGAGGGCAGCCAACCCCCACCTGAATAAAAACTGCCCGTAGGGAGCGCCGCGAACACGGCGTGCGAACGGGGCGCGCTCGTCAGGTAGCGCGGGGCAGGGTGGGAGGGCCGGGAGGAGCCTCCTGCCTTCTTTCTCCGCTCCTGCTCTAGGAACTGTGGGATGTTACCGCCTCTTTCATTATTGTGGTGGGGACCCGTCGCAGCAGCTGGGCTGAGGCAGCAATGCAGATTGAGGGGACACAGCCTCTCTGGGCTCATGCGTGCACCCAGGTGGGCACCCGTGGGGTGAGGCGGCAGTCCAAAATGCTGACTCTGGATTGCCCCATAATCTCGAGGTCTCCCTGGGTCCTGAGGGAGAAGAGGGCTGTCATGGCTGCAGGTGTGCCCTGTTCAAGGAGGTGCTTGAGCAGATGGCCGGGCTGCCACAAGAAATCAGCAGCCTGAGGGGCTCCCGGGAATCTCTGAGGGAGACAGATTGGAGCTGAGGGATGTTGTCACTGTTGGGGATTGCTGGGAAAAACCTCCGAGCTGTCCCGTGGGATCGTGCAAGGCCTCCTCAGAGAAGGTCATATTGCCAGTACTGCATGCAAAATCTTGTGTCCCTCCAGGGGTAACTGAACCCGCTGCTTCCCTTAACTGCCTGTATATCAGTGCATGCAGCGTGGGAAGTAAACAGGATGAGCTGGAGATCTGTGTGCAGTTGCAGGGCTGTGATCTCACTGCAGTCACAGGGATGTGGTGGGGCAGCTCGCATGACTGGTATGCTGTCGTGGAGGGCTATATCCTTCTTTGGAAAGATAGGATTGGGAAGTAAAGGTGGAAGAGTTGCCCTTCATGTGAGAGACCAACTAGAATGTAATGAGCTCCATCTGGGAGGGGGGAAGAATGTGAGGGTGAGAATTAACGGGTAGGCTGGGATGGCTGACATCACTGAGGGGGTGTACTACAGGTCACCAGATCAGAAGGATGAAGTTGATAAGGCCTTCTACCTTTAGCTGGAAATAGACTCACAATCCCATGTGCTGGTTCTCATGGGGGACTTTAATCATTTAGATATTTGTTATGTAAGCAACATGGCCAGGCACGTGCAGTCCAGATGGTTCCCGCAATGCGTTGAAGATGATTTTCTGACACAGGTGGTGGAAGAGCCAACAAGGCAGGGTGTTCTTCTTTTTTTCTTTTCAACAGTGATGGGCTTGTTAGGGATGTGAAGGTTGAGAGCAGCTTGGGATGTAGCAATCATGAGATGGTGAAGTTCAAGATCCTGTGTGGAAGAAGTAAGGCAAGTAGGATTGCTACTCTGGACTTTCAGAGAGTCAACTTTGACCTGTTCCTGGACCTACTTGGACGTATCTTGTGGGCATCTCATCTCTTGAAGGTAAAGGGGCCTGTGAGAGCTGAGCAACATTTAAACAGCACTTCTTCCAAGCTCAAGATTGGTGCAACCCTAAGAGTAGGAAATCAGGAGACCTGTGTGGATGAGCAAGGAGTTCATGAATAAGATCAAAGGGAAGAAGAAGGTTTATGGAATGTGGTGGAAGGGCCTTGGGAGGACTATAGGAATGTTGTCAGGGCCTGTAGGGAAGCAGCATGGAAGGCTAAAGCTCACCTGGAGCCGAAGCTGGCAGACGAGATAACCCCTTATTATTATCTTTTTTTTTTTTTTTTTTGTTAACAGTAAAAGAAAAACTAGGGATAATGTTGATCCCCTGCTGAATGAGGGAGGTGTCCTGGTAATGGGACATGCTGAGAAGGTGGAGATGCTGAATGCCATCTTTGCTTCAGAGACTCCCCTACAGGACTCCTGGACTCTGGAGGGAAGAGAGAGTCCGGGAAATTGAGAGCTTCCCTCTGATTGAGGAGATGGCCCAAGAGCATCTAGCTGGGATCAGTGTGCACAGATCCATGGGCCCTGATGAGATGCATCCACGTGTGCTGAAGGAGCTGGCAAAGGTGATTGCTGAACTGCTCTCTATCTTTGGCAGGTCTTGGAGCGCAGAAGAGGTGCCTGAAGACTGAAGGATAACCAGTGTCGCTCTGGTTTTCAAAAAGGGCAAGAAAGAGGATCTGGGGAAACTACAGGCCATTCATTCTCACCTCTGTCTCTGGAAAGGTGATGGAACAGCTTGTTCTGGATGCCATCTCAAGCAATTGGAAGAGAAGAAGGTCATCAGGAATAGCGTGGATTCACCAAGGGAGAATTGTGCCTCAACCAACTTTGTAGCCTTCTTTGATGGTATCACCATGCTGCAGCACCTGCTTTGAATTCCTCCTCACTGCTTCCTCTCTCCCTCTCCTGCCCAGAGTTTGAGATTTGAGAAGTACAGACCTCAAATGCACTGCATCTTTCTGAATTTCCAAAGAACTTAATATACATGGAATGAAGAGATTTCTGAATGTAAACGATGCTTTATGCAATGCTTCATCCACTCTACAGCACTCTAGAGTGGTAGAGGTGTAATTAATTTCCTGCTCTACTCTTTCCCCCATACCCATACTCACTAAGGTCCAAAAGAGGTAAATGGTGAAGAGTGCAACAGTAAGTGCAATGAGGCCAACAGCTTCCAGCCTACTGCTGAAGTGCAGGTGATCCACAGCTCCCCGCAGGCACAGCCAGCCAGAGACGGTTGCCAGTGGAGTGATGAACAGGAAACACACCATGTCCCCGAAGAGAGTCCGCTTCTCATGCTGGGGACCTGGGTTCCTCAGCCACTGCAGGCAAAGCACAGACAAAGCAAGTGTCAGCCAGCAGAGTGCACCTTCTGCAGCTCCAGAGCAGTAACTCTCGTTACTGCTTTCTATCCTATTTTAAGATATATATATGTATATAGAAATCTGCCAGTAACACTAGCAAAGCCATTTTTAACTTGCCTTCAGGTATCTGCATGCAAGCAGAGGTGAATGCACACAAGGTTACTTTTATTAAGAGGATATTAATCTTGCAAAACAGAGTGCCTGAAAGTCAATGCCTGAAGTGAAGGCTGATTGAACAGTTATCAGTCCTGCACACCTCCGTTGCTATAAACAGGATTTCAGATAGCAGAGGTGAAAAAGTTCAGCCTGGAAGAGCACACTGAGGCCTTCTAATTTAAAAACCTCATCATTCAAGTCAGTGTTTAAACAGGATGACTACTGAGCCATGCAACCTTTGCCACTGTATGATGCAGGTTACTCTCTGTGACAGCTGCAGCATCCTTGTTTTCCTTTTTCTCTCTACAGATATGCACAGTACTACCAAAGATATCAAACATTTCTGCTGTGGTGCCACCCAAAAGCCACAGCCAGCAAAGGGTTATACACCAGTCCTGGGCCTTGCACTGCACCCTGTCTGGCTGGTGTGCTCTCATCCTCTGCTCTCAGTGCAGCAGGAACCATGGCCATTGCAGCAATGATGCTCACCCAGGTGTCCCAACCTGCTGTTTTCAAGCCCCACTTCACCTTTTCCTGCTTTGCCCACTGCAGGAAAATAAATGCAGCATGTGTCTCTTCAGCTGAATATGGTGTAAAACAGCAGCCACAGAAGTGAGTGCATCCAGGAGCACGTGGCCACAGACCAGGCTCATTTTTTTCAGCATAACTTAGGAATTGAGAGGAACGCAAAAATATACTTTTAAACAAATTTTTGGCAGGCTTTCAAGTCACTTACTTTAAAATAACAGGAATCACAGAATGGCTTGGGTTGGAAGAGCCCTTAAAGACTACCCAGCCCCAACCCCATGCCCTTGTAGGGCTGCCCCCCACCAGTTGAGGCTGTGCAGGGCTCCATCCAACCTGGTCTTGCGCACCTCCAGGGATGGGGCACCACAGCTTCTCTAGGCAGCTGTGCCTCACCACCCTCTGAGTAAAGGATTTACTCCTAATATCTTATCTAAAGTTCCTCTCTTTTATTCTAAAACCATTCCACCTCATCCTATCTCTGTCAGACCATATAAAAGTTGTTCCCTGTCCTGCTTGTAAACATCTTTCAAATACTGGAAGGTTGTAATGATGTCTCCCTGGAGTTTTCTCTTCTCCTGGCAGAACAAGCTCAGCTCCTGCAGCCTTTTTTCAAAGGAGTGGTGCTCTAGCCCTTTGGTATTCTTCATGGCCCTCCTCTGGACACACTCCAGCAGCTCCACGTTTCTTGTTCTGGGGGCCCCAGGCCTGGATGCACTACTGCAGATGGGGCCTCACAAGGGCAGAGTAGATGGGGGCTATCCCCTCCCTCTCCCTGCTGCTACCCCTCTTCTGTGCAGCCCAGAGTACTGTTGGCTACAGGCACACGCTGCTGACTCATGTCCAGTTTTTCATCTACCAGAAACCTCAGATACTTCTCCATGGGGCTACTCTCAATGAGTTCTTCTCACAGTCTGTACACATATCTAAGATTGTCCTGATCGAGGTGCAGCACTTTGCTCTAGGTCTTGTTGAACCTCACTGGGTTCCTGTGAGCCCATTTTTTGAGCCTGTCCACGTCCCTTTGTATGTTAGCCCTTCCTGCTATTGTGCCAACTCCACCTTCAGTAAACTTGCTGAGGGGGCACTTGCTTCCGCTATCTACACTGCTGATAGATGTTGAAGAGCACAAAATCTTAAGTATAAAGAGCTTCATAACTACTTTGTACATCCACAAGCAACTTCAGATGCAAGGCAAGGCACTCTTCCAAGACGACTGTGCAGTAGCATTCCTTCCTTTCCAAGCAGTGCCAGAGATTTGACATTAATGAATGCACCCTACGACTACAGCAGGGCAGGCAGAGGGCAGGAGCAACACACCCAGCTCACCCCCAGGGTGTGTGTAGGGAGGAGGGTTAGGCCCACATATGAGCAGTTTATAGTATTTGAACACCATAAAGCCATGTGCGAAAAACTTGGAAACACTTTCCTTGGAGTCTTGTTCCATGTGTTTAAAAACTATACCAAGGGTGCATGCATAACAGTCTCAGGGTATATTCTAGACATTCTAGACATGACTGATTGCAACTTCTCCTTGTTCAATTTCCATGAATTCCTGTAATGAGAAACTGACAGGAAAATGAGAGGAACTCAACACGCCTGGCAGCAGGGATTTTGCTCTTACAAGCAGCTGTCAGAAGGGTTTGTGGCATTTGTTTAAGAGGTAACGTGGCAGAAAAATGCTGAGCACCTGCTCTGCATCTCAGTCTCCACAGAGCAGCAGCTGCGCACCAGTTTTCCAGCATCTGCATACCCAGTGCCAGGCAGGAAAGAGGCATGGCTGCTCCCCAAGCATGTTCAGCATGGTTACATTCATAAGGCCAGTAGAACCCAGGCAGCACAGCTGAGCAAGAAATGCCATGCATCTATGGAAAGGAGAGGAGAAAGACAGGAATGTGTCCATGTGGCAAGCATGCAATGCACCCTCAGTATGTTTGTAGATGACAACAAGTTGGGAGGAACTGTCAATCTGCATGAGGGTAGAAGGGCCCCTCAGAGGAGTCTGGAAAGGCTTGATCAATGAGCTAAGGCCAACTGCATGAACTTATGAGCTTCAACAGGACCAAGTGTCCTGCACTTCAGTCACAACAGCCTCATGCAACACTACAGCCAGCAGAACATGGGCCAGCAGAATGCTCAGATGGCCAAGGCCAATGGAATCAGGCATATCACCTGCGTAGAATACAGGGATGGTGTCCGGATTTGCAGAGAGGGGATTAAGAAAACCAAGGTGCAGATGGAACTGAACTTGGAGAGAGATGTTAAGAGCAACAAGAAGGGATTCTATAGGTAAAATGGCCAGAAAAGGCACACAAAGAGAGTGTACCTCCTTTGGTAAATGAGAAAAAAGACCTGGCTACAACAGGTATGGAGAAGGCTGAGGTATGAAGTGAGTTTTTTGCCTCGGTCTTCACTGGCGGACAGGATTCTCATATTTTCTCACATCCCTGAAACTCACATCCCTGAGCTTCTAGGTGGGAACTGGGGGAGTAAATCCCACTCCTGCTGTAAGGGCAGAGCAAGTCTGAGACTGCCTCATAAGAGTGAATGTATACAAGCCTATTGGGCCAGATGACATGCACCCCAGGGTCCTAAGTGAGCTGGCTGATATGGTTGCTGAGCCGCTCTCCATCATATGTGAAAAGCTGTGGCTGTCAGGTGAGGTCCCTGGGGACTGGAAAAATAGAAATGTCACTCCCATTTACCAGAAAGGGAGGAAGGAGGACCTATGGAACTACGGGCCAGTGAGCCTCACCTCTTTGCCTGGGAAGATCATGGAACAGATTCTCCTAGGACATGTTAAGGCACACTCTTCATGCAGGTAATAACAACAGGACAAAAAGAAATATTCTCATGTTGCACCAGGGGAAATTCAGGTTGGATATTAAGAAAAAATTCAACTCAGAAAGAGTGGTGAGGCAGTGGCACAGTCTGCTCAGGGAGGTGGTGGAGTCACTGGCCCTGGAGGTGTTTAAAAACCGTGTGGATGTGGCACTGAGGGATGTGTTTAGTGGGTACACTGGGGATAGATGGGCTTCTGGTTGGATTTCATGTTCTTCATCGTCTTTCCAGCCTTAATGATTCTATCATTCTATGAGTTTTCCATAGCACACATCTTTCTCATACTTCAGGAAACAGGAATACAAACAAGATCTTAGGAGTCTATTCCAACCTTAATGATTCTATGATTCCATGATTCACACACATTAGGGCAGATGTTGTTTCCCCCACTCCATTGTGACTTTCACAATGTACAATACAGTGCACCTGAATAAAGACAGCATTTGGTGGTCTGCAGATTAACTTGATTGAAAGGTTGAGCATGCTTCATATCCAATGGCTCCCAGCACCATTTCTGTCTGTCTGACCCACGTGAACAAAGAATGAAAACTAAGTAACTCAAATACAAGAAGAGGCCAGGACAGACGAGTAAATAACAGTTATATAAAATCATTAGGTAATAAATTAAAACCTCAAATTTTTATAGTCCAATTTTAAAAGCTGAAGTTATTTCACTGACTGTTTCTAAAATGGAAGTCCAAAGTTCTCAGGGGAACACGCTTCAGCAGGGAGCTGGACCAGGTGATCTCCAGAGCTCCCTTCCCATCCCTGTGGTTTGTGATTCCGTGAACAGTAATTTCAATGGCTACACAGATTTCAGTCACAGCATGCATTTTAATCTGGAAATAGCGCACGCGAATTTTCAAACATGCTCCTGTTTAGATTCTAGGTTTCAGTCTTTTGTTTTGAAAATGTGCACTGTAAAGTTACTTTATAGCTAAAAAGCCAAGTCAGCAAATCGTTCGGTGAAAGTGAAACCTATGCAACAGCTCCAGCAAAGTGCTGAGCTGATTAATTGCTCTGGCAGCACAGCTGGGACTGCCATGCTGGCAAGGAACAAGGTGCAAGACTAGATGCAACTGTCAGACCTGCACTATGGCACTCTGAAACCCCTCCTATTAAAATGTGTCAGTGCACTCGATTGCATCTGCAATAAATTAAGATGTAACAACAATTTCAATTTTTGAAAAAAAGACAGGTTGTAAAAAGAGTCACGTCTGAAGCTAAACACTGGCCCAGCTGGCAGTCACTGCCATCACCAAGTGCCATCTTGAAGTGAACGTCCACTACTGTTCCAGATATGCAGGCAGAGTGCCAGAGAAAGAAGGCGCAGCGATGGCAGCAGTGGCGCATGGCAACATCCCTGGGCAGACAGCCTCTTGCTAAGAAACATGCTGAAGACTGCAGGACTGGGGAAAGCTCCCTGATCTGGTCTC